CACGGGCCACATCCTCCAAATTTGCATGCATGACTACTTTAGGTCCTTCATCCGGACCTGACGTCATCAAAAGCACACAGACTCATATGTAGCTTTGAGATCATTAATATGCACGCCTAAGGCGATGTTTGATATGCAACATTTTCTAGTGAGATAACAATGATAGTTTCCACTCCATTAGTTATTTAAAAGCTTATATTTAATTTACTAAGTATGTTTGAAGCGTATGTTTCAACAAACATGTGTAGACTGCTGAATTGTGTCCAATCACTCAGCTCCACTGGTATCTGTTCATGCAGATAATATTACGTCCTGGCTGTGTTTTCATCGATGTTATAACTTTTAAAATACAACGCGATACATCTCTATCTGTCTCTATTGTCAGTTTAATAATAATTTAGCATTTATCTACATCTCATGAGCAAAATAAATTAATGTTACTCTGATTTAGTTTATATTTGTCTGTGTTCAGTGTACATCATGTAGTGTATGTGAGAGAGAGAGAACTGGACATCAGAGCGGAGCTCATTAATATTCATGACACAATCCACATATGGTCAATTATGGACCTTCTGATTCTAAGGGTATTTGTTTGAGTAATAAATGAGCTTACAAAACCGTTTCTGGACTTTTTTTTTACAAAACGAATGCATAAACCTACTATGTAGATATCAGAGAACATTTGAACTTATCGAGCCAATGCAGAGTATATGGCACCTTTAAGAAATTAATACTTGCACTCAGCTAGAACGCACTACATTTATTAAAAATGACAGTAAAGACATTTGTATTGTAACATAATTATATTTTTGACAAATGTTTTTATTTTAAACTTTTTACTAATCAAAAATCCCTCGTTTTTAGAAAACTCTTAATAAAGAGGAAAAAAATCATTAATCTCCTCTTCTTGTCATACAGTGCTCAGCATATATGTGTACACCCTTCACAAATCTCTCATTCAGATTCATATTTTCTATAAGAAGCTTTAGAATATTATATCTATGCATATACATTAGATTAATCACTAATGAAGCAAAATCTAAGCTAATCTAACAAAATAACTTATGATAATGGTCCAAAATTAGTAGCCCAAATTTATAAGTTAGAGAAAAATATTAATGTTTTTTTTTGTTTTGTTTTTAAAGAGCATAAATCAAGAGAAACATTTTATAAAATGTTGTTGAAATTTTGTAGGATGTAATTTTTTCCCAAAAATATGTCTCATGAATTTTGAAGATTATCTATATCTTTCGATTCCTAAAGATTGACTAAGATATTAATTTAATAAATACAGTATATGTTTAATAAATCTGTTTTGTCCAAATGCACCAAAATATATGACCTATATTCACTGAGAAACGGAGCAAAATATTCATTTTCAAAATACTCATGTATTTATTTATGCAGAGCACTGTATATCCTCCTCTTTTTTTAATCAAAGATCATTAATTCAGCATATTATTATGATTTCAGCAGGATCATGTGACACTGAAAACTGGAGTAAAGGTAGACAATTCAGCATTTTAGTCACAAAAATATATTGAAAACACATTTAAATACAAAATACTTCTAGTTTATATAAGAGCAATAAGATTGAAAGATTTTTGTGTTTTTTATTAAATAAATGCTAACTTAAACTCACCCAAAAATAAATAAACAAATAAAACATATCAACATCTTCAAACTTTAGAACATTAATACACTATACTACTCATTCTCAGACTGTTAACATGTCAGAAACTCACCCTCTTTTGACCGTAACATTACGGTTGTTCACACAAATCACTCGTGAAGGCGGCGACCGCATCTTAAACCGATACGGTCTTTCGTTGGCGATTCTGAGCAACTGGGCACACAGTGTGTCAACGCAAACTAAACTCCAACAATCAACAAACAAATTATTCCAAAACGTTTTACACAAGGCAGCATAAATTCCCCGGTAAACTTCGATCCGCCGGACATTCCTGCCGGACACTTGTGACCCACTAAATCTGAATCAATCTCCTGCTACATATGCTTCAAACGTACGGCTGTGCGGCGATGTGTGTGTGTGTTAATCTGATTTAGAGCTCAGTAACGGTGACCCAGTGTGTGTGCTAGCCTGCGCTGTAAGAACATACATCTGTTTAATCCCTTTAATCTCCATGTGCACATGCTGTCCGACTGACACTCAAACACATATTGCGGAGGAATTGCTAATAATGAAAGAAAAGCTAATCAGTAGAGCCACATCGAGTCAAAAACTCAGCAGATTATAGAGCATGTCATTCAATGTACTTATATAAATGTGTGTAATGCCTCGTTTCCACTGAGTGGTACGGTACGGTTCGGTGCGCTTTTATGCCGTTTCCACTGTCAAAAGGCATACCAAACAGAACCGTACCACTTTTTCAGCACCCTTTCGAAAAGGGTACCAAACATGAGAAAGGGTACCAAAAGGCAGAGCTACATGCGCAGCTGAAGGCTGATTGGTTACAGAGATACGTCACGAGCTCGTGTT